CCGCACTCCTCTGTGTGTGGGCTTCATTCCTAAGTTGCCCTTGGGTGGCACCTGGGTCCAGCCCCGCTCCCCTCCTACCTGCCTCCTCGGCCCAAGCCAGGCCAGGGACCTGGGGCCACCCTCGCTTGCCGGAGGCACTTAGCAAAGCCCCGGGGCCAGGCCCTGGGTTGCCCAAGCCCAAGACGTTGCCCAAGCCCTGGGGCCAGGCCCTGGGTACAAATGCCAGCGGGCTCCCAGCAGAACCAGGAAGGAAAATGCCCTTGGCCTGGCTTGCCAGCCAGCTGGGGTGGAGGGAAGCCCCCGTGCTTCTTGCAGGGCTGGGGAGCAGGCACGGCCCCTGCCTGCCAAGGGCCTGTGTCCTGCCCGGGGTTGTTCCCACAGGAGGCACCTTGGGAAGTGCCGTGTGACCCCAGCCTCCGCCTGCATGCTCGGAGGTCGGGCTCAGTTTGGGCCTGGGGGTTTACGGGGCCATGTCTCCCCAACGCCCTGTGCAGAGCAGGGACCGTGGCTCACAGCAGCACCGATCTTGCAGGCAAAGGCTTGTTACTTTGCTGAGGAAGCGGACCCGTCTCCAGCAAGCTCAGCAGCGTTCCTGCCTCCGTCTAGCGTTGGGAAGCAGGCACACCCCGGCAGCGGGAAATATACTGTTCCCTGGATGGGAACACAGCGCCTGTGTGCAGGGGCCCCCCGCTCCCTCCTGTGCCGGGGGTGATGGGAGGAAGGCCCCGATTGTGCCTGCGGTGATGCCAGTTGGTTCGTGTCGTAGGGCTTTAAACAGATGCTCTGGTCCCTTGGTGCTGAACAAAGGTGACCCAGCTGTGTCCCTGATGCAGCAGTCGTCTTCCTTCCGAACTGGGGGCGGCTGTTACCCAGAGCAGGAATCCCTGCAAGGATGCATTCAGTGTCAGCAGGCTGCATCGGTGCCCCGAGCCCAGCACCACTGCCCCGGCAGAGCATCCTGGTGCCCGGAGGTTGGTGGCGCTAGGGGATTCCTCTTTGGAAAAGGGGCTGAGCGCGGTGGTCTGCACGGGCTTATCCAGTCTATGCCGCCATCTTGTATAAAAGGGAAAAACTCCTGTTTTGGTGTCAAGCCAGGTCCTGTTTTTACAGAGGAAATGCTAACAAGGCCTCCGTGGCAGGAGCGAGCCGCGTGGGTCGCTCGTGTCCTGTGTGCCCGGTTGCTCCCCGTTCCTGCCCAGGGAAGAGGAGTTTTCAAACCCGTGATGTTTCTGGGAGGCAAAACTTGCTGCAAGAGCCTGGCTGGGGGCAAGGGCTGAGTTTCCACCTGCCCTGGCCTCACTCCCTGCAAGGCCTCGATAGTGCCCGTGCTGGTTGCGGAGAGGAGGCTGGGGCTGGGCTGCACAGACACCCGGTGCTGGGCATGTTCCTGGGCTAGGACCCCCCACCCCATCAGGCTCCCCACGCCCATACCGGTCCTCATGGGCGCTGTGCTCTGCTTGTCTCCTCCCAGGCATGGCTGACGGAGATCCATGAGTACGCGCAGCAGGACGTCGTCCTCATGTTGCTGGGGAATAAGGTGAGTTGGGCCCGTGGGCATTCATGGAGGTCTCCACCCACCGCCGGGCACACAGCTGTTGCCCAACCTCGGGGCACATTGCATTTGCTGCTGGCACTTGGGAGCTGGTAGGGGAGGGGGGCTGTGCCATCGATGGCTGCCCCACTCCCGTGCCGCTGAGCTGTGTAACGCGGCACTCTCTCGCTGCCAGGCGGACTCCACCCAGGACAGAGTGGTGAAGAGGGAAGATGGAGAGAAGCTGGCCAAGGTAGTTGGGTCGTGGGGACTGGCCTGTCCTGGCTGGGAAGCAATGCCCGTCCTTCCCGGCTGTGGGTGGGAGTCAGTCTCATGGGAGGAACCCACACGTGCACACACAACCCCACTTCCCTGGGGTGCTCTGCTTGCAGTGCCCTGCAGGACAACCTTCCAGCAAAGCCCCCTAAGCACCCCAAGTCCTCCTCTGTCTGGCCACCTCCTGACCCCTCCTTGGGCATGCACCGCTGCGCTGCCTGGGGTGGGCTCCCGTGCCCTGGGGAGAGCCGGGCTGCTCCGGCACTGACCGGCTCCGGTTTTGCAGGAGTACGGCGTGCCCTTCATGGAGACCAGCGCAAAGAGCGGCCTCAATGTCGACTTGGCCTTCACAGCCATTGCCAAGTAAGTTCATTGCCTTTTTGCCCGGCTGCTGGAATGAAATCTGCCCTGTGCCCGTTCTCAGCGGCCACCTAGACAGCTAGCAGGGCTGCAGCACAGGACAAAGCAGGCTGAGGTCCTGCAGTGCAAGCCCCTGCCGGGGTATCCCATGGCCATGCCCTGGGGTCAGCCGAAGTGTGACTTTAATGGGCACTTCAGTGCTCCCCGCATCCCAGCCCAGCATGAGGCTGGGAGGGGGCAGTGGATGCTGTGGGTCTCCCTTGTGGCGGTGGCCCCAGCGAGCGACCCCTTGCCCTAATCTCCCACAGGGAGCTGAAGCACCGGTCCATGAAGCTGCCCAACGAGCCCAAGTTCAAGCTCCATGACTACGTGAAGAAGGAAGTGAGAGGCACCGGCTGCTGCAAATCCTAACATGCAGGCGTTGGCGCCTGGGGCGCTTGTACAGAGACTCGCGTTCGTGTGCCGTCCCCCTCCTCGTGGCCAGTATGTGCATGTCTGTCCGTTGTGTCTGTATGCGCGCACAGGGGAGCTGAGACGTGTGGGACAAGGAGCAGCAGGAAAGGCTCTCGCTGGGCCAGCGCGGTCCGGCCACCACATACCAGAGACCCCACTGCAGCCACGTTCCTGTGCTCGCTTGGTCAGGTGTAAAACCTTGGCGGGCTCCGGCCAGGGAAACGAACCTTTCCTTCCCGCTTCGGTCTTCGCTGGGCTGTCTGGTCTGGAGCCGTGGGCTCTGGGGAGGGTTTGGCACAGGCAGAGAGGGAGGTGGTAGCGGTCTGAGCACACCCTGCAGCGTCATCACGATGGCTCTTGACGTCTCCTCCCCCCGTGGCCTTAGGCAAGCCGCTCCACTGCTCTGTGCCTCAGTTTCCCCACCTGTAAAATGGGTGCGGTGATACTTGCCCCGCAGGGGGTGCCATGGAGTCAAGGGCCGTGTCAAGTGCTATTCTTACGTGACTATGGGGAAACTCGTTGGGTTTCAGAGCCAGAAGGGCAGCCCCGCTCAGTGACGTCTTCCCTCCCGATCTGAAACACTGCTTTCCAAACTCTCCAGCCTGGGGCACGGTGGCTGTCGGCTGCGCACGCCGGAAAGCTTTCCGTCCTTGAGGCTGGTATTTTTGTAGTCGCTCCCCTTGCTCCATCCGTCGGGACTGTCCCTTCCTCGGCGCAGGTTCTCCTTCTTCCGGCAAGGGACAAGAGCTTAGATGTCCGTTTCTGTGTATGCCCCCATTGTACAGAGGAGCCGTGACCATTTCCATGTTTGATAAAGGCTGTGGCTCCCCCTTCTTGCCGTTTCTAGTATTTTGATTGAGGAAAACCCCGATGTGCTGCCGCTTTTTCTAGGTATCTTCACATAGGTGTGCTCGCGTTCGCAGACCGTACCCGCGCTTCGGTTTCTTTCCCACTCTGGGGGCAGATCTTTCCGCTTAAGACCACCGCAGGTCTCAGTAGACCTGTGTAGCTTTGCTGTCATTAGCTGCACAGGTCTGCTGAGAGCCCCATGCCAGCGCCATGCACTGAAATCCTCCTTCATCCCCCCTCTCCCCCAGGTCTTTGGCAGTGCTTTTTTCTAATTTTTATTGCACCTCTAAATGAATGCATCTCTGTTGGGCTGAGGCTGATTCTGAGCAGAGGTTTGCAAAGTTCGTGGCCCTGACCCCGGGCACCCGATGCAGTGAATCTCCCTTTTGCAATCCATCTGAGGCTCAAAGCTCCTCCAGCCAAAAGCAGGTGGGGGGTTTCTTAGCACCCAGTTCAGACCGGCCCGCCCCTTGTCGCATTAAGGTTTGATTCAGGCCGACGGGGGCTGAGTCCACGAGGCCCAGCCAGCGAAGCAGCGAGTGGTCCTGGGCCCCAAAGGAGAGATTTGCTTTTTTAAAGGGATGGACGGACGCCCTGCGCAGGGAGCCCGATACACAGAGTAGCAGCCTGAAAGCAAGTTAGAGTCCTTGCAACAAACGCTGTGACCGGGACCAGGCAAAATGCCCTGGAAATTTTATATTTTGGATGCTGGGGAGGAAAAGAATAACTTTTTCTCCTTCATTTCCTGTGACTTAGTTTCTCACCCAAAAGCATGAAACTGAAAGCAGAAAAAAATCTCTTTTTGCGGAACCCAAGCAGCGAACTTTTAGCAAAACCACCCTTTTTGTAATCAGAGTGCGGGGTCCAATAATGTTTGGTCAATTGACTAGTCAAAATTGTAAAAAAAAAAAAAAGCGCCAAATGGTCCAAATAATACACAGAAAAAAGCATTAGGTTTTCCACCAAGATGTGTCAAAAAACAATTTAAAAAAAATCATATTTCTGTCAAGAAAACTACCAAAAAAGGTAGGTTTTTTTGTAAAATTGCTATAATCTTTGACTGGTCAAAAATATGCAGTCAGTTCACAGGTCAGCTGGCAATATTTGACCTGTCAATTGACCAGCTTGCCAGTTCTAGTTTGGGTGTTAATAAAAAATGTGAGCGAACAGCACGTGTAGGTGTCTCTTCACGAGGTGCTGGCTTTGCACAGAAATACCTTGGTCGCCTGCGGTGCCCACAACTAGGCATGCCTCTGGCTCATCCATGTTTGTTCTCACTTGGGCAAGCACAGACACAGGAGCAAGGGGCAGAGTGGAGCTGGCAGATGGATCAGGTCTCGGGTCTGCTCCGACAGTGGTGCAAGTGGTGCTGGGCTCCTGTAGCTGCTGCTGCCTGCTCAGAGGCTCAGTCCTGTCCTGTGCCTGGCACCTGAGGAAATCAGTGCTTTCCCCAGGTGCCAGGCCCATCCCCTTTCTCAGCACATAAATTGAGGCTGCTGCTGCTCTCCCAGCAGCAGGGCAGAGCCCTTTGGGCCTGGCTCTTTGAAAGAGGTTCCCATGCACCTCCTGCCCTCGTGGGCATGCCTGCAGGAACAGTGCTCCCAGTTCAGTTTGGGGCTCTAATTGGGCAGGAAATGTTTGGTGGTGCAGCCTGCTCCCCTCCCACTCTCCGTTGTGAACCGATCTCTTCTGTACCACAGCAGAAATGAAGTGTTGGTAGCAAGCACCTGCGTTGGATCCGTTTCCTGTTTATTTTGAACACCAGACCAAGCCACTCTCCTGCCTCTGACTCAAGCCCCTCTGTGTGCTACTTGGCTTCTGGCACGATTCTCAATCCTGACCTTGCCTTCAGTGCAACACCTTCAGGGACTCGGTTATATAAGTTCTTAGCTTGTTTTTACATGGGCTTGTACTGCCACCCAGCGATGGAGAATTGTTCAGTCCGTTCAGTCGTAAATAAGGCTCAGAGCGCCGTGTTACCTGCACTAGACCCTTGCTGGCTCTGGTTTACAGCTTTTATGTTGTTCCTGTTAATAAAGATTTTTTAATGATCCTCCTGGTGTCTTGGCTTTGTGATCCAGGGGGCACCGACCTCAGCAGAAAGGAAAATACACCCACTTGCCCCGTTGCTGGGTCTGTCCTAGAGCACAGTTCAGCTCCACCCCATCCTGAAGCCCACTATGCAACTCAGGGTGCAGCCTGAAGAGCCAGCATTAAATGTTCTCATATACCTGGCCCATAGCAACAAGCAGAATACGGAAGGACGCTGCTATTCCTCCTGTCCCTTTAGGTCAGGGATTTTCATGCAATGGTCAGTCCTGTTTATGGGAGAGAGCAGAAGGAGCGTCCGGAGCACTGTCTCATAATGCTAAATGCAGGTGTCCCTTACAACAGATAAAACTGCCTTAGATTAAGCGTGACTTAAATCTTGATTGGTCTAATGCAGCAATTCCCAATCAGGCTGACACCAGATCCTTTCCCAGGTGGGAAGAGGGAAGCAAGCAGGTAAATTAATAAATCCCAGGCCCTGCCTGAATGATCCCCCATGCCCCCTGTCCAGCTTCTTGGCAAGGAGGGAAGCGTTGTAATACGGACATGTTTTGGGAACTGGGTACCACTACTCCGTTCACAAACATTGAAACAGAAGGTTCAAGCCCATACAAGGCTGAGAACCACTGATCCAATGCAACTCTTGCGATGGGCTGTCAGGCCCAGGAGGGAACTGAAACCCACCAAGTAACCCAACAGTGTCTTTTGCAGAAACTTTTCAAGCTGCTATTCATAGGATGCTGGGTGTTTTTCAATCACCCTGGCAGGAAGTCACAGAAGAGACCTGCCACATTTGGCTGAGAAGAATTTAAGCACCAGGAGAGCTACCAGTTAGTGCAGAGCTTTCACCAGGTGGGTGAAGAGGGGCTGCTGCCTTTGGCATAGATTAGCAACCATTACAAAAGTCTTTAGTACCTTGAGAATTAATCCCTAGGAGGTGCCATAGTACAATAGCGCAGCTTGATAAACTGGAGTTACTACAGTCTGCAAGAGCTCCCTGTCCACTTCTGTCAGGGACCTCTTCAGATCCCTCAGGCCCTTCATAGGTTTTGGCAAGAGCTCTTCCAAATGCACCTTGCTACTCAGCAGCAGACTGGACTGACCAGTAAAACTCAGTGACTGCAGTCAGCTCTATTCACATCTCATAGGATGTCTCTTCCCCCACCCATTGCTGAAGAGGCTTCACAGGTAGAAATCTGAGCTCATAGTTACACAACAGAGCAGGGGATGCCTTGCTGCTGTAGGGAGAAATATTTGTAAAGTGCTAAATTACTTGCAGCCTAGCTTCAAGCAGCAGACAACTGCAGTGTGCTCTTTACTTAGAAGAGTGAAGCCAGGGCTCCAGAACAAACTTAGGAACAGCTGAAAAATGCTTAACACCTTGCTGCTACAGGGAGAAATATTTAAGTGTTTTTCAGCTGTTCCTAAGTTTGTTCTGGAGCCCTGGCTTCACTCTTGTTCCAAGTAAAGAGCACACTGCAGTTATCTGCTGCTTTAGGCTAGGCTGCAAGTAATTTAGCTTTGGGCTGGATGAGAGATTTCTGTACATAATGTCAAGGCAAGTTAAATAAAGGGTCTTAACCTACTGTGCTCTCCCTTTAGAGGCACTCCATAAAGCAATTGCTAGGTGGAGTGAACATACTATTAAACCCTAGAAGTAATGGGATGTATGACCATGCAATGCAGCCAACTCATTCCAATGTGAATATGAGGTTATTAATACAAACCATTTCCCCCTCTGTAGTCTTAAGCAGTTTTTATACTAGCTATTTTTTGTGAGCCTGGGGGGGTTAATACTCCAGGACCTTATACTTAAGCATGAGGTCATTTCCAGTGCTTCATAAGCTATTTCAGTCAAAAAACAGCATGTTGAGTTCTGTGCTGATGAGTAAGATTTGGCTTGTTCACAAGGTACAGGCAGCAATGTTTATTCTCACTTTTAATTCACATCTGTGCACAATATGATACAGAGGTAAAAGGAAAACCTGGATTCTACTAATTTCATCATGGCTGGATGCACACTTTAGATAGCCGAAGTCAGTTCAGTGATAAGCTGGGGCAAGACTCTACAGAGCTCACAAGAACAGGGTTTAGTCCCATAACAGCACCTTGAACTACTTTACTGCAAGCATGAGCTCAGGGATGCTCTTTGCCACTAAAAAGCTATTTCTTCCCTCTGCAGTTCTAATGCTATGATCTAGCACAGCAGATCTCACCCTTTGTTGCCCCAGGACCCACATGTAAACACCTATGACCGGTCCTGACTTAGTGCCCCTCACTCCACACCCCCCAAACCAGACACCCAGTGTGGGCCAAGCCCCCCCCAAGCAGCCCCTCAAAGGCTGGAGCTCTGCCGGCCTGCAAGGGAAGAGCCAATGCTTCCCACCTTCTTCTCCTTTAAAAGAGAATCCATTTTTAAAGTTTGTTCACGACCCTTTCATAGTCTTGTGACCTACTTCAGGGTTACAACCCATGGGTTGAAAGCCACCAATCTAGTGCAGCGGGACCCAATCTTTTTGGCAAGCATGCCCTAAAAATCAGCCCTACCTGCTCCAAGCACTGCTGCTCTGCTTTCTGCTCCCTGCCCCCCATACACAGAGGCTGCCTTGGGCTATATGCCTCAGCTCAGCCACCGCTGATCTAGCCAGGCTCATATACACCCTATTCACCCTGACTCCAGGAGCTGATATAGTAGCATTTCATACACGATATAAAAATATCCCCCCGCCCCATCACTTCGTGTCTAACCCTCTGCCACGTCCATGTGAGAACAGAAGAGTGCAATGACAGGGGAGCAGAGGATGTCACGTCCCCAAGGCAGGAGCCTGAAGGCCTGTGCGCCGAGCTGAGCTGCTGTCTCAGTGCATCCGATACCCGCCCGCATGTCCGGGCTCTGCTCACTGGTGTCAGGCTGGCTCTGGTGCCCGGGCCCCTGGAGGGGGAAAGAGCAGAGCAATGCTGAGACAGGCAGAGCTGCCCCCTCTCCCCCACCCCAGGAGCTCCCCCACACAAGGCAGCACCTGAGCCTCAGCACACGCATGTAATCAGCGACCGCGGCAGCGGCGCTCATACGAGGTGTCAGAAGTCAGTTGGGCTCATCACTGGCTCGGGGCCGCCGTGGGCACCGCCACGTGTCCACCTCCACGTGCCCGCATGGCCCAGAGCGCATGCGCCGTGCAGAGCGAAGGGCATACTCTATACCCCAGGCCACACGCACCGCGCAGGACAGTGGCTTGCCCCCCCACTCCTGGACGCCCAGCGCATGCGCCTTGAGGAGCAACGACTTGCTCCTAACCCAGGGTGCATGCGCGGCGGCAGACCACGCTTGCCCCCCATGCTCAGCCGGCCTAGCGCACGCGCCGTGCAGCCCTGAAGGCCGCGCTAGGGCCAGACCCAAAGCTACGGGCCACCAAGGAAGTCCCAGTGCCCGGACTCCTTTCCCCGAGGAAGGGCCCAACAGCTCACTCACCCCACACCTTCAATGCTGAAAGAGCGGGGCTTGGCCCCTGCAGCGCCTTTTATAGAGCCCCCGAGCCCCCTTGAGCCCTTGCATCACCATTGGGCAGAAGGCCGCTAGAAGCAGCCAATAGCCTGTGATCTTGTTCCGACTCCGCCTTCTTCCGGTCCCTATTGGTGCTGGCCCCCTCCCCGCACCAATGCGGCGGCGCGGCGCATCCCGGCCCGAGCGGCTTCTCTTCAAGGCTGCGATTAGCCCAACTACGAGTGAAGGGGGGGATGCAAGAGAGCAATAGCCGCGCGGCTTGTAGCAGAGAGTGAAAGCACAGGCACCAATCAGAGCAGGGCGCGCAGGGGCCGCTGGGGCTTGTAGTGCGCTCGCCTGCGGCCTCCCCGTGCGCGAAGGGAGGGCCCGGGGCCACGGACTACGAGCCCCGGCGAGCCCC